ATGTTATAATTAGATAGAAAGATCGGTTTTCAATCTTATTTAAGTAACTGCTATCATGTTTGCATTTATATTGGTAAGTTTTAGCGCAATACTTCTAGTTATTTACAGTATTGTAAAATTATATTTTACGTATTTATTTTTAAATTAATAAATCACAAATATATTTTTTTCGCTTTGCAACTTTCTAAATTAATTTCTATTCGAATTATGAGCTTTATTGAATCGCAAAATAATATGGAAAGCACAAACATGGAGCATTACCAAATAAACGTAGGTCATAGAGAATTACAATGCGCCACATGACGATGAGCTTGTGCATCGTTTAACTTAATATTGATCAATAGCTGTAGTGATAGTAAATACAAAAGCCAACGACTTCATACAAGTCTCTAAGTTAGACAAAATAGTCATCGATATCCAGAATTTCCTTGATAGCTACATCTTTGATACAATTTTTATACAAAACATTCTATAATATGAAAATTATTATATTAAACCGGTAGATAAGCATAACTTAATATTATTGTAATTTAATTAATTATTTCAATCAGTGTTAATTTTTCAATTAAAATTTATTATGCGGATGCCGCACAATTTATAGATCTTTTCTGTACGGCAAATAAAAAAAAAAAAAACCACGAGAAACTATTTGCAACTGTGCACACTACTTGCAAAATGCCAATTTTCTGTACAGCATCCGCACATCTATTCAAAAAAAAGTGTGCGCAAATATTGTTTATATGTGCTGCGCACAGTCCGCACAGTGAAAAATTATCACTGATTTCAATATAAAAAGTTTTCTATATAAACTATGATAAACAAATGTCTTATTCTTAGTCGTTGATTGACCTATGATTTAGTGATGGAAAAATTGATGTTTTTTCAAATTTCATGTGCATTATGCGCGTGAAAATTTGGCCTGAATTATGTTAATGCGGGCCAAATCTCTCAAATTATAAATTAAATAAAAAAATTTTGCGCATTTACTCATCACTACCTATGATGTTAATTTAACTAGAAAAGGTATGTTATTGAGCAAACGACTGTCGTAGATCCAAGAATATATATGATTTGGTTGTGGCAGTAAATAAATAATATTATTGCACGGGTCTTATGTGACAACCCGTGCTTTTTTCATTTACTTATTGGCACGGGATTGTTACGTCAGACACCGTGCAATAAGATAGTTATTGTATGGGTATATTGAATAACCCAGTTACACACACGGGTTCATATTTAAATCCCGTGCCTTCGGCACGGAATACGAACCCATGTGTAACTGGGTTATTCACTACATACCCATACAATAACTATAAAATGGTAACATAACGAAGTGTGGAATAAAGTAATATAGGATTTGTGTGGAAAGGGAGAAAGTCAAAGCGCTTGTTTAGTAGGCATGAAGCTTTAAATATGAAATTTACAATTTTTTTCGCAAACAAATATTTGTTCATAGATCATAGTGCCGTCAATAGAATTCAGTACCTTGTATTTCTCAATGGCAAGATTTTTTATACGTTCTTTTTTTAAACTTTTATTACACAAAAACAGTAAGTAATAGAAGGTGACTAAGGAAATCTTTTTAGTAAATTCATCTTTTATATTGAGTAGGAATTGCCAATTATCTTGGATCGCAAAATTTTAATCATGATGCTACTTTTGGACTTTTCACGCGAATTTTAAATATCTTCAACTCATACACGCATTGAAGGTCTATCGATCAAAATATTTAATAGAACAAAACATGAAATATTACTTAATGATTCTAATAAATTAAATTTTAATTTATTTTTATTTTTAAATTGACGTTTAAATTGATAAAATTATTAACTATGCATATATTAATATACTATTAATTAGTTTAAAATTATAATAATTTACATAATAATCCCAAACCCAAAATTTAAAAAATACATATTTTTTTAAAAATTAGAAATATATAGGTCTTTGGCTTGTTTGACTTTTGTTATCACTCGGAGAAGACATTCTAGAATTTCTAGAATTTTCATTTAAAAGTGATAATCGTAATGATTCTTGTTCACTTTCTCTTTCACTAGGCATTGATAAAGTATTATAATTTCTTAAATTTACTTGAGTCCCATCTTCGTCATTTGCAATTTCCATTATATTATCTCTGATAATTCGACGATCCATACCTCCAGCTGGTAAGAAATTAGGAGTAACGAAATTTGGATCTAAATTATAATATTGATTTGGTGGTGGTGATGGTGGTAATGGTGGTAATTGCGTAATGTAATTTTGAGAATTATAACCTTGAAAGGTATTTCCATTATAACCATAGTAATTACTACCTACGGGGGAAGAACTACCCGAATGACCAGAATAATCACTTGCTACTGGATAAGGATTTCTTGTTGAATATAAACCACTTCCATATGAAGCATTATAACTTTGAATTGAACCATCTTTGTAACTCGCCATCCCTTGTTGAGATGAATGATTAATATTTCTTAATCCATTAGAATTTACATTTCCAATTCCTGTAATTCCTGTATCTCTTGAATTTCCACTATTAGCATTTTTATGTTTAAGACGTGAATTTGAACGTAATTTTCTAATTATAAACACTAATGAAACAATTAAAATAATTCCGACGGCCGCTGAAACACCAATTATTACATATTTAGTTGTTGATGAATTATCATCACTAGTGCTTTGAGGAATTGGTGGGGCAAAATTATTATTGGAATTACTTTCATTACTAGGATTTGGACTTGTGGCATCAGTAGGAGATATTGTTGGAGTTATTAAATGTGTATTTATTGTAGTGGCAGGAGCAAAGGTCTCTAATGGTAATTTTGCTGTTTCAATAACTGTAGTTCCCGGTAAAGTGGTTCTAATAGTAGTAGCCGCACGGGAGGTAACACGGGGAGCTTGAGGATATCTTACTATTAGTCCTCGAGAATGTCTTGGTAAAATAAATCTTCGTGCAAGTCTTTGTAAGAAATTTTCGGCATCGGCTAAATAATTGTAAATAGATAGTAAAAATTTTCATATAAATGACAGAAATGAAAAAAAAAACAATATACTATATATATATATATATATAAACCTACATTGAGTAAT